AAGACTTAACCAAAATAAAAACTGATAGAACTCAGGAATGTAGGCTCAGGGATTCAAGGTATGGCTTTAGCAATAATCAAAGTTCTTTTGCGTAAAAGCTCTTTAACAAAATTCTTTACTTCAACATATAAAACTTCATAAGAACCACATATGAATCTGCCATGATCCATAATGAGATCATGAACTTCATATCAAACTCTTTCTCAAAATCCAGCTCAAGTTTCATTTATTAACTACGATGATGAACAGAGAGTTGAGTCTCCATAACCGAGGAGCAACGACCCGACCCCACACGTCATCCCCTACATCCCGTGCTGACCACGACGACAGCGGCTTTGATCGGTGAAATCTCACCGACGGCGAGATCTACGACGACGACCATGGTACTAACATGATCACTACATCACGGCGCATTGATTTGTGGCACAAGCGAGACCAATTACGGATTGGACCGAGCACTACGCCGACCATGGCGGACACGGTGGCTCGGTGGTGCTACACCGACGAAACTAAGCCAGAAACGGTGAAACAAACAACACGGAAAGAACCAGGAGCTCACCCCAAACGCACTGGAGCAGAAAGTTGGATCGGAAGAGCAACGGATGAGTGGTTCGATGTGCACAGCACCCACAACGGATCAACGGTCGTTGGTGGCGGCGTTCCAGCGACTGTGGTGGTCAAAAGGATCAAACAACCAGTCATAGAGCATCACGGGATCAAGGCAAAGCTGGAGCTACGCTGAGCAAGGAAAAAGACGCACCGTGGAGCTCCGGCCACGGCGACGCGCTTGCGGCGGCGGTACTACCGGCCGCGAACGGTGTTTCCCAGTGAATTCAAGCTGCAATGGTAGGTCGGCTGAGTGCGCAAGAAGCAAGCGGAGCTCAGACGGTGCTTTGCCGAGGCTGGTTTGCGCTGAGGAGGCGATGCGAGCTCGACGGAGCTATGGCGGCGACGTCGGGAAAACAGAGGAGGAGAAAGGAGATGAACGGCGACGGCACAAGCTATATATGATGGCCAGGAAGCAAGAGGAAGCCTCGACGTGGCCTTCTCCTCGCCAGCACAACGCCAAAGACGGCCACGCGCGCGCCGGGAAGCTGAAAGAAGCTCGCCGGCGGTGACAGCTGCCCGATGGTACTGTTCCTCAAAATTACAAAATTGCCACTCGGTTTAAAACAAAAATTACTCCCAAATTTATGTAACAACTAAAAAATCTCTAAAAATAAAAGTTGTTCAAAATTCAAAGTTCTACAACTTTGCTTTTATAACCACCCCCTAATTTAGTCTACATTTTGAAATGCAAATTTGAATTAAAAAAGGGGACATTTAATGAATTACGCCTTTTCAAATTACTTCAAATTTTTTTAAATAACTTTAAAAACTCCAAAAACCAACCTTGTACAACTCAACAAGCTCTACACTTTTGCTTTAAGGCTCAACCCCAAAATGTGCTCAGATTTTGAAATGGGTTTTCTAGGGCAAAACTTAAATGCTGAAATTAGGGTTTTCGAAAATTCAAATTCAAACAAAACTTTGAACTTGATTCAAACCATACAAGGAAACACTTATAACATAAATGTAAACTTGTTTTAGTGAATGCATATCAAAGTTTTCACTAAGACCAAATGCTTTGCAATGCATATGATGACATGTCATGTTTTAGGTTTTAAAACACCAGAGGTGTTGCACCTGGAAAGATGGATCCAAATACCCATGAAGCGTGATGCTCTCATAAAGCTTTGAAGCATGGGCTCATAAGTTGTCAAAGACGGTGACAGACAGTAGACCCTAGATCAAGATTCTCTGCCTGCGACTACAAACTTGTCAGGGGAGCAGACATGATAATTTTGGAATAAAATTACTTTTATCAAAAAATTGAGGGGCATGTGTTTACACCAAAATTTGGAAAGAAGAATTGCAGAAACTCGAAGCTCCCAAGATCATGTCATCAAGGAATTGATTGCATAAAGATGATATCAACTGATTCAAACGCAGCACTGGAATCGGCTCTTTTCAGATAGCGCCACCAGATAACGACAAAAGCTACGATTGGTGCCGGAAGAAATATGTCAGACTCTACAAGAAGGGAAAGATTAGGATCCAAGTTATCTTAAATTAGAAATATTTATTCTATACCAAAGATTGTAATGAGTCATACTTAAGTATGATTCATGTTTAGGCTCCGAGTATAAATATTGGACCCCGGCTATTGTAAAGAGACATCCAATCAATCAAACACAAGTTATTTACTTTTTTGGCTCTGGCCAATCCTTAGGAGGAGTAGAGTAGATCTCGACAAGTCTTCAGTAAGCAGGGCTGCATCGGTCCGGCCGATCTCCGGTTTATCTATAAGTACCGTCATGATTTATATTTTGGTTTGTACGGCTGCATCAATCCGGTCGACCTTCACTGCAAACCTTAGTATAAGCTAGTTATCGACTCTTGCCTAGTTCAAGTACGGCTGCATCGATCCGGTCGACCTCCACTACTCGAACTAGATTAAGGTTAAGTTATTGACTCTATCTAAGGTTGACGTCCTTTGGGTAGATTCATTAAGTTACCGATCTTACTGATGTTTGTATTGTTATTAGTTTACAACAACATCAATCTGTTCGGTCAAGATCAAGTTAGATCGGCCTTATATCATTTCAGTCCGTCGTTCGCTTTACTACAACATGATGTTTCTTACTCTGAGCGACGGGTTATGTTTCATCGGCCGTTCTATCTCGATCCTGATCATGCATAGTACGCGGTTAAGGCATGAATAATCTAGAAGAGATCTGCTGGCTAGTTAAATCTAGTTTATAGTTTACCATTATGGTTGTAACGATCCAGTCGATCTCCACTGATGGCACTGTAGATTGGAGGATGCTAGTTAGTAGATTTATTCCTGATTAGGCGTGACCTTAGCTGTTTGTTATGCTTGCATCGGCTAAATAGCTGATCGCTTGTGCGTTAACGCCTACAGTGTGCGTCCATGATTCGGTTAAGCGTGAATAGATTTGTGTACTTTAAATGTTTGATTTGTTGTCTTTATCACGGCTGCATCGATCCGGTTGAACCCCACTATTAGAGATAATAGGTTAAGTCTGAGGAGTCCATAAGTTTGTACATGTGAAATAGTCGATTGTTCACACGCTGTAGTTCTCTTCAACTGAATGGGCTATTTCAGCCGATTCATCGAGCCTTCATGTATAGCATGTCTTTCAGAAACCCTGTCGAAGTATGGATGTGTTTACGGATTCTTCGGTTTTAGTTTGTTACTATCATCATAGCTGTCATCGATCTGGTCGAACCTCACTCTTGGTGGTAATAGATTAGATTCAGAGCGTTTATAGGTCAATTCGTATCAGATAGTCGATTTGTTCGCATGCTATATCCTTTCTCATTAGATTCATCGGCTCAATGTTTTATACTGGTAATATCTGTCTAGCTGATGATCTCATTTACATCTACATGTACTATACCTATCAACATAAAGTCAAATGCTACCCACGAGCTTTACAGTTTGTAACAGCTGATTTCTGTGCGTATCGGCTATTTGGTCGCTTTTCACATCTGGCTGCTCCCGAAGCGACACACTTGGAACTGTCTGGACATAGACCGGCATGTTTCACCTTAAATTACTGATAAACTTTCTCTCCTTGTCAATTGTAGGGTCAAATTGACCGGCACGCCTCGGGAGGAATAGACAGGATCGGTTATCCTTGCGTTGAAGCCAAGCGGATCTCCAACTCCATCAAGCAGATCCTTCCGACTTACCGTGTGTCGACGTATTTTCGCGTCGACAGAGGCGTCCCTGGTGTCACAATCTCTCTAATCCATGTGACTATTCATATAACCGATTGATTAGGCGCTGGAGGGTTTAGGAAGGCCGTCTACCCACATCCAGGTACCATTGCAGATCTACATCGCGTTCTTCACCAACTAGGAGCATTAAGCCTCAATCTGGTGAAGACTAAGATTTACTTCATCTATATCAACTCTTCTACATCTACGGAGGCACTCAGATGACATCTACAAACTCTGGTTAGTATTAGATTAATTTCCACATAAGATTTAGTCAGTGATCATGTTTAGACTAAGATAAAATTCTGTTAGTCTAAGTTCTAATTCAACAGAGGCTACAGCCTACGCCGCTACGGTACGGTGGTGCTTCGAGAGCGCCGATCGCAGTGTGGGCCGGCACGAAGTCCCTAGTCGTGGAGGCAGGTGCTGCGAGGCCGACATGGTGAAGCTGCTCCAGGTCGACGGTTGGCCCGGCCTGCTACAACGTTGGCATTGTAGGCCCTGTCGTACTTTTCAGTTTGTTTTTTCAATTTTTTGACTTTTTTTTAGCAAAACGAACCGAGCCGTAGATCGAAGGTGGGCGCATCTACGAGATCCCATCCGGAAGCCCGAGCCCGCCGCGCAGCCGCTTCCTCCGACTCGTCATCGTCCTAGGCAATCGAGCAAGCATCACATACACCCGCGTTTGACCAAGCAAATCCAGATCGGTAGGGAGCGCACGAGAGTATCAGATTCGGAGTTTGGATTGAGTTTTGATGGAGCGCGTGCACCAAAATACTTTGGACGAAAGACCTTCGTATTTTTTAGGTGGTATATATATAAGTAGATATGTACTACTAGTATGTCAGTGTTGTATAAACAACACACACGACTACACGAGCCATGCAGACTCTACAGAGGAAAAATGAGTATACCAGGAGTCCTTCGCAATTGCGGCTGCTTGCTACAGGCGTACAGCCAATATTTACGGGCCTCAAAACGAGCCCAAACAGATCGAGAAACGGACTGAAGAACGTGATGGGCGAAGAAAGCCCAACTACATCCTAGCACCATCCCATCCTGGCCCGACACGCTACCTCCGCCTACATATATAAATAAACCCGCCAGGCCCAATCCTTTCTCCTTTCCCTAATCGGCTATCCCGACCGAAACCGGATTCGCGGACCGCATCTGGTCACCCCTAGCAGCCAAGGCTAAGCACGCGCCCTGCGGCCATGGAGGACGAGGAGCACGAGGTGTACGGCCAGGAGATCCCCGTCGACGGCGAGGACGTCGACATGGCCGCCGGCGACGACGCCACCAAGGTACCGCTCGGCACCCCTTCACCTCCCGCCGCCGCTTGTTCGTCGCCCAAACCCTAGCGGTGGTACTGACCCCGTGGCGTGCGCAGCTGCAGGAGCTCGACGAGATGAAGCGCCGGCTCAAGGAGATGGAGGAGGAGGCCGCCGCGCTCCGCGAGATGCAGGCCAAGGTCGCCAAGGAGATGCAAGGTTCGGAATCCCCTCTCTCCCGTGCGCGCAGCTTTTCCGTGTTAGTTTTTGGAGATCTGTATCTCAAGTAGGGTCGTTGCGCAAAACATTTGCGTTGGCTTGCAGCTACTTAGCAGTAGTTGGGAATTCGAGTTGGATCTTGAAGCTATATGATGTGCTGTGATCACTGTTTCTGTTGATGTGTCGACACTACAGTTGTTCGTGAGTTCATCTATAGTAGGGTGGTTGGGAAATTTGTTTTAATTAACTTGCATCTTTTTATCAATATAGTTGAGTGTTTGCTGATTGCAATAGAAGCCATTTGGTTGTTCTTTAGATTGGACTAGTTGCTTACGATGATTTGTTGCTGTGTTGAACTGTGGATGTAAGTGCAGCACCTGATTTTGATTCGCAATCGTACAGGTAATGCTATTACAGGTTGGGGTAGTAGTTTGTTTTGGTAGATTTGGTGTGGGATGGGTGATTATGGCCTACATCTCTCTTTCCTATCCTCTGTTTCCGTCATGTTCAACTACACCCAGTGTGAAACCCACTATTTTATCGTTCACCCTGTATCCTAGGAGCTGGGAAGCTTAGTTTGTGATCGGTATCCCCTCTTTGTTTATTGGGCCTTTTATTCTGTTGAATTGAATAACTTAACCTTTGTGTTTTAGCTGAACTTTTTAGCTTGTCCATACATGTAGGAGCATGTTTGGAAGAGTAAAATGGGCAGTTGGTCGATTTTTTTTAGGATTGTAGGCAATCCTATAGATTTGGATCCCAATCCCCCCCCTATCCAAACGGGTGGCAAGCTTTTAGCCTGGGTTTGATTGCATGCTGTAATATAACTATGTAATCATTCATTTGTTATTTCTCTAACACAACCAATCATTGATCTTTTTCTGTAGGTGTAGATCCCAATGCAACCACATCTGAAAACAAAGAGGAGATGGATTCTCGGTCGGTATTCGTTGGAAATGTAAGTTTTATCTCCTCTTTAAAAGGGGACTTATGTATACTTCAATGGATATATGATATTATTTGGTGGGGGGTGGCGGGGGGTTAATATAATATTGATTGTCGTTTTCCATTAGATAGTATGTTTATTTGGCCATGCTCCACTAGAAATCCAATTTCTATGTGGATTGTATTAGTTTGCAGTTCATTAGTAAAAGTTCCATTCCATTTCATTGAACTAGTGCACATATGGTCGTATTCTTATCATATGTTTTTCTATTTTTCTCTCCTTTGTGTTGATTGAACAATGCCAATGGTCGCAGGTTAGTTTGCTGTCATCAAGCCTTTCTATCAAAGTTTTGGCATCTGGTTCAGTCTCAGCACAAGTTCTAGTGTTAGCTTAGTGGGGGAAAGGAAAAAAAATCCAAGAAAGAAGTTCTTGAAAAAAGAAAGGAAAAATAGAAAAAACGATTTGAAAAAAGTAAAAAAAGTATAGAAAAATGAAAAAAAGAGAGAGAAATGATGTCATAGGCTAGGAATTATCCCCCAGGGTAGCCAGCAAAGAATGCGTCAGGCACATTCGTGGTACTGATGTGGAATGATATCATTAGCCATGGCATGTAAGTTTGTCCTCATTTCTGCTGAGTGTATTGAGATTGTTATATGTTTCTGTAGATGTCCCCCCTGTTATCTTACTCTTGACATCTATTGCAATTTATTTATTTCATTAATCCTCTTTCACACTGAAGCAATTTTTATTTGGGACCTTACTGTCCAGTAATCACTAATCATCCATTAGTTAGCCTTGTGTGATCTTCCAATATTCTCTTGTCCCTAGTTCCCTACAATCCCTAAAGTATCCATTTTATTTCTTGGCATGTTTACTGCGTGGCCAAGTATAAAGTATAGACATAGTAGATTGTTAAATCATATCAATAACCTGCCTCAGTGTGTTACGATAGATGAATCCGTCATTGCAGGCACGGCAAATACTTTCCTTGTTGTGTGGTTAATAATTTGATCAATTGGATTCTAGGAAATTTTACCCTAACTAATATTGACACTCCTTATCATGCCATAAAAATGTCATGTATTGGAGACGATAGATGTATTGATAGATATATACTAGAGTCTAGTGCTAGTAATGGACTATGTTGCTTTTTAGTCATTGTATATTATGTTTATGGTGTATATTGACAATGTAACTGGTCTTTGCTTTGGTTGTAATTTAGCTTGTTTTATGAATGCGCAACCTATATGTTTATCATGTTCTGGACCCATCAACTTTCAGCTGGTGTAAGTAAATACGTATTTCATTTTTGAGGGCAACGCATTACACATGTTTCTGACATGTTGCATTAATTCATTTAGTTCAACTATATTCTGGAAGATGCAAAGTAGATGTGTACTTTAGTGAAAATTGTTGAACATTAACTTTTGATGCCCTTAAATTGGACTGGTAATTTTGATACGAACTTGCTTTGTTGTGCAGTGGCCAGTGGTAATGTGGATTCATTAATTTGTTAACTTTGTAACCACCTTTGAGCATCATTTAAGCAATTTGAGGGACTGCTGATTATCCTAGTTGGAACATACTTTGTGTCACTAAAAGACCTGATTGAGCAGCTTTAGAACTGTAGCATATATACAGACATAGGAAGTTAATAAAGCATGTGTTTTATAATCAAACTGATGCATCTTTACAAATTCGAGTTAGCTCTGGACTCTGGTTCAGCTAATCTCTCGTATGATATTTGGAGCAGCTGACTCCAATACTATTTTCGTCCATGTGAACAGAGACAGCTTACTAATGCACTGACTTATTAGTTGTTTCAAATGAATTATGTATTGCCTGCAAAAATTTAGGTTCGAAGTTTTATTGTATATGTCTTTTTGTCAGCTGTTTGGTTATTGAAATATGTAACATTACAAGTCCGCTCATCTTCGGTGTAATTGCAACTGCAGGTTGACTATGCATGCACTCCAGAAGAAGTGCAGCAGCACTTCAATTCTTGTGGAACTGTTAACAGAGTGACAATCCTGACTGACAAGTTTGGGCAACCAAAAGGTTTTGCTTATGTGGAATTTGTTGAAGTTGAAGCTGTTCAGGAAGCTATTAAGTTGAACGAATCAGAATTGCATGGTCGCCAACTCAAGGTGTGAATCTTGGTATTTTTTGCTTTTACTAAGAACATCAACATCCAATGGGTGCTTTATACCCATTTTGCACCCATCCCTGTACTCATCGGGCAGTCGGTGGCATGTTGACATTACTACCTTGTTTTCTCATCAGGTGGCACCAAAGAGGACTAACGTTCCTGGGATGAAGCAACCCCGCGGTCGAGGTTTCAATCCCTACCATGCCCACCCCTACATGAGGCCATATGGTTATAGTCCTCATGGCTATGGGTGAGTTGTTTACTTGTTTGCTCAGCTATGCCGGCATTTGACTCTCTTAAATCAAGAAGAGCATAATGCTGATCATTTCCTTTCGTTTGTTTTTGTTGATGCAGGAGATTCCCCAGATTCCGTCGCCCGCGAAGACCTTATTTTTGAAGCTCGGGTTCCTATATGGTCTGCAGAACATGGACGATAATTGGTTAAGATTCTGGAGGAGGCTGGACCTTATTCCTGTGTTTCTATTATTTCACACATAGCTTATTCGGGATGTTCTCAGACGTGTTGTTTCCATATCGAGGATGCTTAAGATTTGTACTGTATTGTTTCAGTTACAGTTATGCAAAACGATTATGATTGAGTCACGGGAGGTACTGTTGTGATGCTGCCACTTTGTTGCTTGAATAGATTTGAAGCCTGGAATATGATTGTATAAGCTGATGCATTCTTTCTTCACTTCCATATCACATTTAAATATTTTCATTCATCGTGTTGTGGTTGTTGGACATCTGGTTTCAGTGTTATGTAGAGAAATCTCAACCTCGCGTCATTGAGCATTTGAGGCACTCACCTGCAGTTTTTTTTTTCGTTCCTTTCTGAAAGCACATATATTTAAGCCAAACGAACAGATTCAATTCGACAAAATGGCCTGCCTATTCGCAGGAAATGGTGATACGCCTGGAAAAAAAATGGCCTAGAACTAGAAGCGGACGGAGGTTCCCCATGTGTGCGCGTCCTTGAGGGTGGCCGCCAGCCAACCGAGCCCCTCGTGCAGACCCTCGCCGGTGAGCGCGCAGGCCCCCACGGCACGCAACGCCCTATTCTTGAGGTCGTACAGGCCCAGGCGCTGTCCCACTTCGGAGGGGCTCATCGCGCCTTTCTGCGAAGAAAAAGGAACACCGAACACAGATGAGAGGCGTTCTCTGCCTCGGTTTGCTTGATGATGCTCGGATGAGTCACTAATTACCATGTCCTGCTTGTTGGCGAGCACGAGAAGAACGCTGCTGAGCATGAGCGGGTCCTTGACGATGGCCTGGAACTCCTCCCTGGCAACCCCAATCCGGTCCCTGTCCGTCGAATCAACAACGTATATCTGCGACACATACAAAAGCAGGTACCAACTGTTCAGCATGACGCATCCACGAGAATGGCTGCATAGAACACAGGAGATGTGGATACTGAAAATACCAAGGCGTCCGAGTTGCTCAAGTACTGCCTCCAGAGCGGCCGCAGCTTGTCCTGCCCTCCAACGTCCCACACCGTGAAGGCCACATTCTTGTACTCGACTTTCTCCACGTTGAAACCTGCAGAGAGAACGAAGTAAAACATTCGCAAGTAAGTCACGAAATACCTCGAGTCCTCAATGCCACCTTGACCAGTTGACCCGTGCACAACGCACATCATACATGATACTAGTACTCGGATTATTGTAGCTTGATGAGATGTATACCGATTGTCGGCACCGTCGACAGAACTTCGCCGACGTGCAGCCGGTACAGGATCGTCGTTTTGCCCGCGGCGTCCAGCCCAAGCATCACAACCTACGATAGCAAGGCAAGAGCAACTGAGAGGCTGGAGAAGGAAGAAACCAGAGCCATAGAGAGAGCTCGATCGTGTAGCGCTGTCTGTAGCAATGGCAATATGGCATGATGCCATTGTTGGTACCTTCACTTCTTTCTGGCAGGAGTTGTCGAAGAAGAGCTTCATCAGAGACTGACCCATGCTTTCGCCAGCGCTATTTTGCCTCGCACGCACCGAATGCCTTTTTCCTCCCAGTTTGGCAGTTTCTGTGAGCGAAATCCACGGCTCTGCGCCGGTTGCCGTTCTTCTTCTCGATGCTGCGCTCAATCTTTATTGCTACACAGGAGGTTTGTGTATTTATGTGACCGGTGGACGTGGAGCGCCGTGAGTGAGGATGCTGGTTGTTAAGTGTCAACTTGTCATGCGGACCATGACGCCTCTTGTTTTTGTATTGTACGCATATCGCACGGTAACACGTCGTCGGCGTTTGACTTTTCTCTTTTTAAAGTACGTCGGTGTTTCACTTGAGCCAACGAAGATTCTGCAATTGGGATGACATGGGGAGCACGAAAGCCACGTTGCACTTCACCGACGGTGGCCTGAAACTCGCATTTGAGTCCACACAAAGCGTAAGCACATTTGATAATTGGTACGGATGAAAGAAATGATACATACTGGTTATTGACACCACACAACAAATTCGTTGTAGTATAGTGGTGAGTATTCCCGCGTGTCAATCGGGTGATCCGGGCAACGGCGATTTTTTTTCTTTTTTCTTTTTTTCGGCTTTTTAACCTTTTCTTTACTCATTGGCAGCCCTTGATCATAAAACCAACAAAGATGCAGCAGAATCACTTGGACCTTTACGCGCCAAGGTCCATTCTGAGTGAAAAAACAGCCAGTATTGGCGATCTTGGTACCTTTACAGCTTCTGTCGACCTGAACCAACTAATGCTACTGTCGACCTGAACCAAAATCAACTGATTCCCGCCGGTTTCCCAAACAATTTTTAACCTCTCCTGCTTTGAGGGAAAAAACGAGATTAATTCCCCCTTGCTTTGAGGGAAAAAATAGATTAATTCCTACGACTGCTAGCTCTTTTTTTTTTTTTTAATTCTTTGACTGCTAGTTCTTACCAGGATAAGAGCAGCCCCTTTCCACCAGATCTTGGAATCAGCTGGGGAATATCAGCACCGAACAGCACTGCAGGTACAGGGGCATCGTTCACCCACCTTATACTGACACGATCAACCATGCCAATGCCCTCACAGACTTCCCATTTCAGACGATGATCATGGCGAGCAATTAGAACAGAAACAATACAGTCCCAGCATTGCGCAATTAGTTCATCAACATACTAAGATCCGACACCACTGAACCAGTTCATGGCAGTCAGGTTACTTCCTGCTTATTTGTAACTCTGTAAGTATCTCATAAGAAAGATGAGCCCTAGACCATAGGAGGTTTCCAAATTACCATGTCATACTCGCACCTTGTCGTTGTGGCGGTGTATGATTCTTACCCCTCAAGCCTCAATTAATCGAGTACAAGCTGGTAGTATTAGAACTCACGCACAACTGCACAAGCTCACACGGCACACGCGCATTTTTACTTGAGCCAACCAAAATCTGCACTTGGGATGACAGACAATGGGAGCACGCAAGGCACATTGCACTTGACCGACGGTGCCGGCAGCTGAGGAGCTCGCTCGTCTTGAAATCGTGCGAGATTCGCTCGACTCCATAATTAGCAAGACTGTGTAAATGCTTTTGAAAATTAACATATATAGATATGCCTTCAAACTATGAAATAAAGTTAGAAAAAAGAACTGAACAGCCAAGTCGTTGTAGTATAGGGGTGAGTATTCCCGCCTGTCACGCGGGTTCGATGCCCCGCAACGGCGATTTTTTTTTTCTTTTTTTTTTAACCTTTCGTTTACTCATTGGCCAGGCCCATCTGAATTCACCATTCGCGTGATCGCATCCAGTTCTTCTGCCTAAACCAGGACAGCCCAACAAGGTTCTCCGGTCTGTTGCATAAGGAAAAGAAGAACAAACTATGTGACAATTGAAAGTCCCGTTCTTCTGCCTAATCAGAACAAACCCAACAAGGTTCTCCGGTCTGTTGCATAAGGAAAAGAAAGAACAGACTATTTTAACTAATGACAATCCAAAGTTCAAGACACAGCTAGTATTCAAACGTTTCTTTAGAAGCGAACCAGACGTGCACTGCACAAGCACGGAAAAAAGAACGAACTACTGTACAAGCCCCAGGCAGTACCCAGTATTGGCGGAATGGGGTACCTTTACCACTACAGCCCTTTCCACCAGATCTAGGAAATCAGCATCCGACAGCAATCCAGGGCATGATTAACCCACCTTACATTGACACGGTCAACTCAGCCAATGCCTTGCCGGCTTTACATTTCAGGCAATGATCTGGTGATATTCAGCAGAATAGAAACGATGCAGTCCCTGCATTGCACAACTAGTTCAGCAACATACTAAGTTCTGACACCACTGAAGCAGTTCATGGCAGTCAGGTTACTTCCTGCGCATTAGTAAGCTGAGCCCTAAACAGAAGACATGAGATTTGCAAATTTACCATGTCATTTAAAAACCTTTCAACCTTTGGATTTCCATCCGGTACACATTCCGCAATTTAAAAGTATATTTCTAGATGACTCCATAAGAATATATCATGCTAAAATAGAGATCCTGGTGCATTGTGAATTTTCCAGAGGTGACACAGCGCGCCGAATACCATCATCTACATGATTAAGGAAGAAGCACGAGCTTGGTGCATTGTGGGAGCAAAAGTCTTGGGAAGCCCTAGTGCACAGCCTGTAATTAGTTTTTAGCTTATGCCTTTCCTTTTTAACTTTGTAAATGCTAGGTTTCATTTCTACAATATCAATATACAAAACTGGCAACCACAAGCCAGTTTTACAGTCATTTTTTTATAAAAAGAGTATACATCATGGATGGCTCTTGGTCACAGAAATACTAGTTCTGTGTATGTTTCTTACTATGTTCTTTCCTAGAGGTGACAAAATATATGCAGATAACTTAGTGAACTAAGAAAATAAGACATGAATGCATAATCATGGTCAGTCAAACTATGACGAAAGACAAAATGAGAGACATATGACAGATTTCAAAATTTAAAGATGCAAATTATAAAACTAAAATAAACTCTCTCTATTCCAAATTCTAAGTCATTCTGGCAGGTTTTGCTCTGAATCTAGATATATAGCTTTTACTATGTATCTAGAAAAACAAAAACGACTCATAATTTGAAATGGAGGTGCAATGTATGGATTCAAAAGGAACCTAAACCTCAAAGAAAGCATAATAAACAAACTACAAAAACAATTTACTATGAAACAAATGATACACTTACCATAGACGAATATGGTGTCTGCTGAAAAGTTGTAAGCTCCTTACTTTTTAATTGAAATGGCTAAGCCTTCACAAGGTCAGAGTTTCAACAGCTGTCATGTATGTTGGATGTAAAGTCCATCTGGGGTCTTGGAACATAGTCAAAAGAAGATCAGAGTTTCAGATTCATCTTGATCATTTTTAAAGGCAAATAGCCATCCCCTTTCACTTTCTGAAGATGAAAATATCTCTATCGACCATAACCTAATTTATATGACACTGAAACCAACTTCTTTTCCTTTGGATGTCTTCGCCAATAATTTTCTTGTTCTCTGAGCATCCTCCCATAAACATGATTCTGCATACATGTTTGCAAGCACAGCATAGTTTACAGAACTCTCAGGATCTATACTGAAAATATTCTTAGCCGCAGTTTCTCCAAGAGGCATGTTGCCATGTACCTTGCAAGCTCCAAGCATTGCACCATACATTGATGACTTGCACTCAGTATTCGTCTTTTGAAGAAGCATCCATGCATCTTCTAACTGACCACCACGAGCAAGAAGGTCAATAGCAGAGCTGTAATGCTTGGCTCTTGGATCAATACCATACTTGCTCATCATAGAAGTGAAATATTCCATCCCTTTGTTCATCATACCAGAATGGCTGCATGCTGATAGAAGAGAAAGGAATGTCACATCATTTGGCTTCACACCATCCTCCTCCATCCTAGCAAAAAGGGTCACAGCATCTTCTCCAAAGCCATGTTGTGCACAGGCAGTAATAAGTGAAGTCCACGAAATCACATTTCGGCTGGGCATTTCATAAAAAGCGCGTCTGGAATCCAAATATTCTCCTGACTTTGCATACATGTCAACAAGAGCATTGTCCAATGCCAAATCACCCATTGGTTGCTTCTTGTGCATATAAGCATGAATTTGTGTCCCGAATTTTATTGATGCTACATTAGCACAAACACCAAGCAAGGAACTTAACAGAATACCATCAATTCTTAAACCCTTTCGATGAATCTTACAGAAGAGCTTCATTGCATCATCACTGTAGTTCCTATCCATGGAGTACCCACTGATCAATGCCGTAGATGACACAAGGTCTGGTTCACACATGGAATCATATATCTCCCTCGCACTGCTTAAGCTCCGACATTTTGCATAAGAATCAATAAGTGATGCAGTAGCGACCTTTTCGTCCCAATAACCAAGCTTGATGATGCAAGTGTGAATTAGCTCCACATTGAAAAGCACACTGATTGCTCCACATGCCTTCAGAGCACTTCCAAATGTGAAATGGTCAGGTAGCATCCCTGTTAAGTTATTGATGTGAGAGATTGGCAACCCAAAGAAAAAAGAGCATTGAATAGATGTAAAAAATCACAGATGTTCCTGTTTTGGTACAAGGATAACTGTCTATTTAGATGAATTTAGCTGTACTAATTTCATGTATACCCATTTCTTTTCTTTCTTTGCTAGATATAATTTGATGTAATGATGTGCTAAGGTACAAGAGTAGATACGGACTGAGCTGCACACAGACAGCAAAGGGACAAGAATTCATGATCATACCATCTCTCAGCATCGAAGCAAACAATCCAAGCGCATCACTACATTGCTCCCGCTCCACAAACCCCCTCATCAGGGCATTCCAGGACACCAAGTCTTTCCTCTCCATCTCCGCAAACAGTCGCATCGCGTCCCCCACTGATCCGCACCTCAGGTGCATGTCCATGAGCGCGCTCTGCACAAACATGTCGCCCGCGTGCCTCCCTTTGGCCGCGCACGCGTGCACCTGCTCCCCGCTCCT